AGAATATCTGTTATGTGACATAAATACAAAAGTTTGTTTAAATTTAACGCAAGATTAGAGAAATAGACAAATGAATAAAATTCTTGCTTTGCATAAAAACTATCCATTTTTAGCATATTTTTATACTAATCTTTAAATTAATTAATTAATTAAATTTCAAACATCTATTGATTACATGAAACATCTCTAAAAATACACTAAACTTTATATAATTAAATATTATCATTGAAAATATAATTATTTAGTTATTTAGTATTGTATATCAACTCGACGTCTAATTATTATCGATCAGTGAAATAATACAATACATTAGTTAATACAAAACACAAAAGTTTCAATTAGTATATTATAATGAGTTTGTATAACAAAAGTCATAAACAGTTCCTGACTTTTAGTCTACAAATCATACAATAATTTCCTCAAAATCTTTTGTGAGAAAAAATAAATTTCAAATGCATTTTAGAGGACATTAGGGCTTAAATTAATACTGATTTGCATTTATTCCTATGAATAGTGAAAACATTGTATAGTTTTCCACTATTTTTACGCTAATTTCAACACAAGGTTTGCCATAAATTAATAGATCAGACAAACAAAGGACCAGAAAAGCAATGAAATTAAATGAATTGTTTGGATAAAAAAAATATATGCCGTAAAAGAGATAAATTTCAAGTTTATTACAACAAAAAATGCAATTATTAAGCAAAAAATTTCAAATTGTATTTAAGTATAAAAAATAATATTTAAATTTCATTCAATGGAAACTATGCGCTCAATAACCAGGCATTTGTCACTTACTTATACTTTTGCTCTCAAAATATACGGAAAATTAACAAATAATAACAGTTTTATAATTAAATTCTTGATATATTTCTATTGTTTTTCATCGCAAAACATAACCCCAGACACAGATCTAACGAACTATAGTTTAATTAAATAATATAAACTTAAAACATGATACTTTTGATTAAAATTCAATGGCTATTATACACCAAAACTATCTTTAATAAAACTATCAAATGTTTAAAACTATAAACTTATTGTTAAATAACAGTTATGTAGTGTTTGGACACAAATTTAATCTATAAAATAATTTCACTGTTAAACTGTTGACCTTAAGAGCGGTTGAGATTATGGGATATAACAAGAAAATAGTTAAATAAAAAGCAATACTCATTGGTCTCCATGTATATACCACTTGCCCTTTCATTATTATTATCACATTTACTATTATGTCTATTATATTTCTATGGCTTTTTAATTTCTAACCCAATTTAATGAGGCATTCATGCGATCAAAACGGAGAGAAAAAAGCTTTAGCGCAGAAAACAAGCGAAAAAACACAACTAAAACCTAAAGTAAAAAAGTAAAACACAATAACTTTTTGCAAACGACAGACAAGTATTAGTGACAACTCGAAGGACTTGTGGTTTAGATGACAAACTCAGCGCAAGAACTATAATATACCAGAGTTTGTATGTGTTATTTAGCGGAGAGTTAATACAATCGGCTAAAAAACAAACACAGCATTTGATTTTGAACGCTATGCCCAGTGTTTGTGTAAAACACACAAACTTTTTAGCCAAACATCAAATAAAGTTTCATATCTTTTGATATATGAAAGGGAGGAGTGTTTTGAGTGGTTTGTGTTTATGAGGTCTCAAGAAAAAGCGATACTTAATTACCATTAAAGCCATTGATATTAAACAGTATATTATGTGTTAAGTGTGTAATCGTTTCTCGAGATCTCGAGTTTATAATAAAGAAAACTTTCTTCAATTGAAAAGTGGTTTTAAAAAGTTATTTAATTAAAAGTGTTTTTTGTTTGCTTTGAATGTTTCGTAATTCTTGATGTGATTCTCATATATTGTCTCTCATTATGAGGGTTTGTATTACTATTTCTCTTATAGATTATTAGTTTTCTTATTATTAATACATTTATCGCAAAAATTAATAGTTTTAATTAAACTTTTTTGGAATATTTAATTTTAAATATTAATTTATTTAATCAGGGTGCATTTATTATATATTTTTAAAATATAATTATTATTTCAGTATATTATGTATCTTTAATTAAATGTTAACATTATTTAGTTTTAAATAATTTAACTTTTTAAAATTCTTATTAATTGAATTAATTACTAATAATTCAAATATTGTAAACAGATATACAAATTGTTAATCATATTATCGGTAACTATTGTTGTCGCGAAATCGTCGCCAAACTTTGGCGACCGGATCCACAAGAATGACAACAACTCATCGCTGATCGAAGTGTTCCGTCCGAGTCATACACAGCCGAAGGGCACAGCCGTCGCCGCCAACACCGCACCGGACAGTAGCCGTCAGTCCGACCGCAAGACACCCGTCAAAGACAACAACAGTAATAATAAGATCCAACGCATCGCCAATGAGAGACACGTCGACTACAAGTTCTCCACATTTCAACACAAAGACAATAATATCAACAAAAGTGGTCACGAAATCGGAGGAAACCCTTTGTTGGCGCCTCCAGTGGTGGACCACCGGTCGGGTGTGACCTCAGGCGGAGTGGCGCCCAGACATCATCCGCCGACACCGCAAGAAATACAGGAACAGCTTCGGCGACACTTCCCGCAAATGCCGGACTTCGGTTCACTGCACTTCGGTTTCGATGTCCCGCACGGGTCCAGCAGTGATCGCGTGAACGTCCGGCCACTGCCGCCGCCTCCGCCACAACCGCCCACTCGGGCCCATCCGTCCAGCTTTGACGACAACTTTGGTGACGACGACCACAACAACGATCACAACAACGATCACAACAACGATCACAACGACAACGATAACGACGAACCCAATTACGATACCGGAGCCGACGATATGGGCTTTCATGAGTCGGCTCCCACGGAGACCGGCGGCGGCGGCGCCGACCAGGACTTTGCCTATGATATTCCCAATGGGTATCCGCACCCGAAACAGGTCTTTGAAAATACCAAACTCTTTATGCAAAGTATTAATCTTTATAATGGTATGTGTTTTATAGGACCCGAGGGCTGGCTATAAGCAGGAAGTGGTCGGCGCACAGAATAATGCGGGCAAACCGTTTGGGAAGAAGACCTCCTATACCTATAGAGACCCGAAAGACCCCAACAATTACATGGAAGTGAGCGAAGTGTCGATGACTATGAACCGGGAAATGGACCCCCAGGAGGCCCAGTCACAGGTGCAGCACTTTATCGCAATGGCCAGGAGTGGACAGTACGGCCCCTTTCACGCCATACCCGTCCGACATGTGGACCATTCAGACGGTGACGACAGACATCCCAATCATAATTACGAGTCCGAAGCGGCCGAACCGTCCGAACCTAATGAACCCAATTTCCCAAAGTTTTAATTGTTGTTTAGTTTATTATTATTATAAGAGTAATGAAAAACTTTAATTCACTTTAATTTTATTGTATTTGAGTTTTATTTTAAATGAGAAATTGAAATAATAGGTTTTATTTTATGTTTTATATTCTGAGCACAACTTGTGATAAATTGTATTTAATTGTCTAATAAATTATTTGCACTATTTTTATGTTTTAAATAAAGTTTACTAATTTTTAAAATAATGTACAGTATAAATAGTAATTTTAATATGGTTTTATATTTAAAAGTTAATCAATTTGTTAATTATAGTTATCGAAATTATAATCTTATAAAAACAATTGATTTTATTAATAAAATTTATTATTAAATTTATTTTAGTGTTTACATTGAAGTCACGAATATTTTTTATTTAATTAAAATTGATAAATGAAAATATGAAACAATTTCTTTGGAAAAATTTTATTCAATTCACAAAATTTTACATTAAATTAATCAAACATTTTGTATTGATTTTAAAAGTATTTAGTTTATTATATATCGATTAATTAAAGATTAATTAATTATAAATTACTTTATATCATAAAATTTAAACAACACTGATTTCAAGAACCTTTTTATAATAAATGTATTGATCAAACAATTTACAAAAAATTACTTCAATTATTAATTTAAATTATATGTAATATAGGCATTAAAATTTTTAATTATTAAATGTGACATTAATTTAAAGTTAGTTTAACAAAAATCTTAAATTAATATTCAACTAGTATACTTCCCGTCGTGTACTATTATTTTTTGTGCAATTAGATGACCCTGTTCCCTCAAACCTACTCTGCCTTCCGCTGCGCTCCCTTACCTGCATGCCTAACCTAACCTAAACCAACTTTATATAACCTAAACATAAATTGCGAGTTAGACTTGTTTATACGTTGGTTACACATGGATTCTTAGGTACATTTTCAGAGGCTTTGGTATATTGATGTTGTTATACCTGGTACCCAT